CCGCATCACCTTTTGTTGAAGAGTAAGGATATTTACCACCTTATTCTATCTCGATAAGTAGTACGCTTAGAGTACATATCTATAAAGGTTTTTCATTTCTTACAAACCTCAAATATGAGTGAAAAATGGGTTGAATAATTTTATGTTTTAGCTGAAGGCGTGAACAATGATGTAATACATACAATTTTTGGTTTAAAACAATTATACATGAAGGTTTACCAATGTTTTCTGATGGGTAGTTGTAGATCATGAAATGAATGGTACAATAGCTTTAAGATTTGGTATAAACTTGAGTATGTAATTCTGCATCAATTAAACTGAAGATTTTGATAGTAGGAAAAACTCCTATTTTCATCTTATTTCATAAATGATTTTGTGTCTCATTTTATTGGCAAAAAAAAAAAAAGAAAAAACAAAACAAATTAACAACATTCTCTCTTAAATGACAGCTAGCATTCTGTTACAGATGCTTGGTTGTCTAATTAGAAGAAAATAATAGTGAGCAGTAACAATAAATATAACTTATTATTAATATTTCTATACTCTCCCTCAATCTAGATTACATAAATATTGAGTAAGCCTAGATTGGATATAAATTCATTGAAGGATCCTTTAGGAAGTGCCTTTGTTAAAATATCTGCAGTTTGCTGACTAGTAGGAACACGAAGTATTGTAATAGTTTGATCTTCAATATTCTCTATGATGAAGTGTTGATCTATCTCCACATGTTTAGTTCAACCATGATATACAGGATTTTTAACTATGCTGATTGTTGATTGATTGTCGCACCATACTTTTATGCGAATAGTAACTGAGAATTTTATTTCTATTATAATCCTTTTTAACCAAACCCCATCACATATTACATGCGTAAGTGACCAAAGTTCAGCTTCTGCACTACTTCCTGATACAATAGATTGTTTCTTACTCCGCCAAGTGACTAAGTTTTCCCAAACATTAGTACAGTACCTAGATGTGGATCTTTTGTCAGTTACAGAACCTGCCCAATCTGCATCTGTGTAGATTTCAATATTCCTATTCATTGTTTTCTGAAAAAATAGTCATTGTCCTGAAGTCATATTAAGGTATTTTAGAATCCAATATACTATATTCATATGATCATCAGTAGGTTGATTCATGAATTGACTTGCAGTACTAACAGCAAAATTGATGTCAGGTCTAGTATGAGCGAGATAAATAAGTTTGCCTACAAGTTTCTGATATCTTTCTTTATCAACTAGCTTGCCATTGGCTTTAAAATCAACTATGTAGTCATTTCCATGGGTGTTTTTGTTGGTTTACACCCAAACATCCCTGTTTCTTTCAGTAGGTCAAGAACATATTTCCGTTGTGACATATATATTTCCTTTTTTAGAACGAGCAAATTCTATTTCCAAAAAATACCTGAGTGCTCGAAGATCTTTTATTTTAAACTCT